TTAAATGAGTTTATGTGCTAATATGGCCAGACAGCCTACATGTAGGACATGGGTTTTGTATCCATTGGTATCAAAAGAATAGGCTCGAGTAAGCCTGCTTTAGTGGCAAAGAACGGCCTCTGCTTATCAGGCTTGAAATCACCATGGGCCCCTAAACAGGCTACAATTTACAAATAAATGTGCAAAAACTAGGTTTAAGCTATTATTAATATTATGTTACACTTTTTGAAGAAAAATACTAAGACTTACGCAGCAACACAAACACATCCAGCTGACTTTATGCTGGCTGACGTTGACAGCGGCAGCCAGGTCTTGTTTGTCTCTGCTCTGGCTTCACCGATGCCTGGATGTAAACATGAGCGGAGTGGCCTTGAATTTCACCAAGTAAGATGTCCTCGACATGCCCGTCTTTGAACATCAGAAAGCCATCATCCTGCCGGTAGTTGGTGAGCCGCTCAGGATTCCACTCACAATGTTTCACCAGGTAGGCAAAAAAATCACCTAAGCTGACGTAGGGAATGTTACGGAGGTCAGCTGAATACGAAACTTGAAGACCATTCAAGTCTGTGATCTCCCCATTCTCGCCTAAACTCTTCGTCGTTTTCGCTCTGATTCGTCATGGTCACACTCTTCAAGGACCGGATATTTGTCTCCAACTTTCTCTGCCAATTTTACAGGTCCCCTCTCCTTAGTCCAGCGCACGGAATTCCTCTTTCAATCAAAAACTTGTGTAATTATTTGGCGCCTACTCTCTTAAAGTCAACAACACGAACGCCGCCGTTTTTGGCAACAACGGTCGCCATCTTGAAAAGTTGTCGACCAAAACATGAGAATTTGGCCTTTCCCTGTTGCCCTCTTGGTGGCGCACCGGATTGTGAATCGCCCGTAATAAATTGCACGGGCCCTCAATGGACAATTTTATCTGAGTACTCACGGTAGTTTTGCCGGGCTATAGGTGGCCGTCACTACAGAAGTTAAAGGATGATTCACGAAGTATCAAAAAACCAACTCATCTATCAAAACATCAAATAAGTACAGCAATATATTGCTACCCTTAAATACTAATATACCGCCCTCTTCAACACTATACAGGCGCAAAAGCGTCACCTTGTGTTACTTTGTGAATTTGTCACCTTGTGAATTTCAGTCACCCATACATATTGTAGGCAATAAAACAAAGGCTAAGGTTTGCAACATAGTCATAAAGCTAAAAAATCAAAGGGAAGCAAAGCAAATCAAGGCAAAACACGCACACACAAAACATAAAACAAACAAATCAACAACACAAAAAATTTCACTCATTTTCAGGAATTCACTTATCCAGAATGCCAGCTGCTTGATTTTAATGAAATGAATAACCTTGAACATTTATTATCATATCGAGTGGATTTTGAGATGACTCCTGGGATAAAGGAAGGTCAGCTACCCATTCAGGCTTGCACATTATGCACTGTCATTCTTGAGCTTGATTTGAATATCTTCATTAATATTCATATCTGTCAGTTTACGTTTAATATCGAGTGATGATTGATTGGGGCGGGTGATTGAGTTTCAGGTGGGAAATCTCTGACTGGCACAGTGAACGTTGAGTCAGACATCGTCCGATTTCCCACAATTTCCTGCCTTATGCGCGGTCAGTGAAGACACTGTGCCTACATGCGCTCGATAACGACTCGCGTCGGTGCTGTCAACAGATAAATGACGTACCTGGGTATTCAGGGACCGCAGCCAGACTAAATTGCACAAAACGTCGGTGAAAACAAAGTAAGAAGGAAGACTTAAAGGGGAGAGGAAAACTTATATCCAGCAAGAAATGAGACCAAGGGGGTACCCCCCCCCAACATGTCCAATCGCTATAAACACTAACACATCGCCCAGATGTCTGAAAAGAATTCCTCAGATTCGAGCGAAATACACACCAACACACACAGGGGGATCCTCAAGCTCCGTCCTATATATCTCGCTTCACAATGGGAAAACTACATCGCCAAGGGGGGGGGGGGAGCTGAAGGGGCCGCCCCCGGCGGGAAGCTGGGCCCCCATCAGTAAAAAGCATCAGCATATGTATATTTCGTTCTTGTGACGTACGGCCCCCCAGTTGATACTATGCCCCTTAATGCCTGAAGCAGGCGACGGGGCTGAGTTTGGAGTTTGAGCTTGGGGCGGATTATCACGGCATTGTTTCTCTTCTTGTAGACTGGTTAGGGCGGATTTTTACCAAAAAAGGAAAAAGCCTGAAGCATATAAATAAATATTTAGCATTGCTCCTTGTGGATTTTCATTCAGAAATTTTGGCATTGGAATCTTTTATTTGATGTGGTTGTGTATGCATTGGGTAGGGAGAATATACATTGGGCGTTAATTTCAAATCCTGCACATTTTCGTTTTTAAAAATACTTGAAATATTCATACGCCTGTTTATAGAAAAAACAGGTCTATTAATCTGACAATTACAAACAGGTACGGCCAGGCTCGGCTGTGACTAATGTGACGGAAGTCGTCAGTTAGATAATACACTGTATGTAGCGGAGCAAAAAAGGTCACTCTAGCTGCCGTAATCAGGAGGAGCGAAAGCCGGAAAGAGGTTAAGCCAAAGGTCACAGTGCCCACGCCCACTGGCAACTCTTGACGAATCGCGTGGCGTCATCACGTTGGCTGCCACTTGAGCGAGGACGCACGCGCAGTCGGTCCACCGCCTTCGACTCACCGAGGCCAGATAGCGAACTTTCTTCGTCACCCCACTGCGGACCACAGTCAGCGACCAGCACTTGACACTGCTTGTGCTCGTACCATACGCGAGGTCCTTTTCCTTACTAATTTCTTCTGCCCTATGCGGTGCGTTCGCTCGACAATGAAGCTTCTGCCATTGCTGTGTTTCTTGGTCTATGTTGGGTCCTCCACAGGACACATCTACGAGCCATGTCCTTCGGGCTGGATGAGTTACGGCTCGTCCTGCTACCGATACTTTGGTCAGAGGACCAACCAGATCACGGCTGAGAATATCTGTCGGCAATTCTCCGGCTGCAGCGGAGGCATCGGGCACCTTGTGTCCACCAATACCAGAGAAGAGAACGACTTCATCTTCAACTACGTAAGGAGTATCCGGCCCAACGCCCAAGTGCAACTGTGGCTGGGTGCCCGAAGGATTCGCCAGACGAGCCGCTGGCTGTGGAGCGACGGCACCGAAATAACACCGAACTCATTCAACGCCTTCCCTGGCCAAAGCCTCCCGCAAGAGCAAGGCAGAAATTGCATGGGCTTTGTCGAGGCTTCGATGCCGGAGTGGAGGCACGTCAACTGCGGAACCCAAGGCCCGAGCCTACCTTTCATGTGTGAACTGAAATCCAATGCTCCCGATCCGGCCACCTGTCCCTCCTTCACTCCAGGCGGTGCTAATCCGAGAGCCCCGGGGCCGGTGCAAGCTCCCGTGCCCATCCGCTTCAACAAGGCAGGAAACATCGAGCAGCGTCGAACAGGTAGACCGTAGGGAACCTGGGACACAGTACAGAGATGAGCACTTGCACCAGATGCGTTTTACTCTGATGGAAAAGGCTACTGAGTACAACTTAACAAATATCCAAACTAAACAAACACCCCCTTTGTGGCGACATTCCCCTGTTTTTAAGAAACCCTTTTTAGCAGTGATCGCCCTGAAAAGCCGCCAATGTGAAGTTTTCAACCCGTCTATGAACTTTGACCTCACAAGAACCGTTAAACTTAAATATCCGAAGAGCCAAAGAACGGACATCCATTCATCAAGACTCTAGTCTGTATTATAAAAATTGACTTTGTGTGTCGCACGTCGCAATAAGAAAGTGCCATTTGAACAGTTCTGTCGTCTGAGTTTAATTGAATCGTGATCCACACGTCACAAAAATGTAAATGGGCTGTTTGAGTCGCATTGGACGTAGCAGAATAGATTGATTTGCGCGTTATTTGTAGCGGTGCTGGTTAACAAATGTTCATGTGCATTACTGACCATACCAGGAGAACGACCGATGGGCCCTATTTATGCCCTGAGCGAGTGAACGGGTAGATGAAGTGCAAGCCGTCTGGGACTAGACTTGATTCAAATTCTGGAAAGGCCTGTTTAAGTCTATGTCTTTTAACTCTGAGAGTTCATAATTCATAACAGGGAGAACCGCTGATAAGTGTGGATTTGTAAAATCAGTTTGTTTTTGCTTTTGACCCTACACTAAATATGTGGATATAAAATAGACAATAAATGGGTGAGGAAAACATTATTTGTGGTGTTTGTTTAGGCTTTGCGCCCCCTTCGTTATACACAATTAATGATTCTGTTCCTTATTCTTTATGAAGACAGATAGGGCCATATTTATTTCCAGTTACAAGTGTTGATCGTTTAGTGCCCATTAGGTGGGGATTTTTTTATTCACTAATGAGTATAATACCTGGGAAATTATGTTATCATTTGGATGATAGGGCAGTCGGCACTGTTTGGCTGCCCCCCTTTCCCGACGAAGTCACTCCCCCACGTCACCATTGGTGTGAGATTCTCAAAACGAAAAGATTATCGTTCCCGCTTCCGCTTCACCCGCCTGCCCTTTCCGTGTTTATTATATAGTTTAATTTTTAATGGCCAAACGCCACATGACATGGGGGTGTCCAATGGTGATTATTCAGAAGTTTGAAACTTGTCAGACCCAACGGCCGATCCAGAATCCACTTTTTGGAGAAGGGAATTGTTTTTATTTTATTTTATTTGGGGGGGGGGAGTTGGAAGAAATTGGGATTTTTTGTTGTGGCCATTATAGCTTTTACAAGGAGCAAGACAAGGTAGGCACCATGGGTGTCCCGGGGGAGGGGGCGCTAGCTCCTGGAGAAAACTGATAGTTGCAAAGGGTAGAAATTAGGAAATAAAGGAACTGGACCAAAAAAAATTAAAGGATGAAACTCACCAATTTGCTTGAAAACAAAACCCAAATTAACTCGTTTCCTATTTTTTCTGATAAGTGCTTTAATCCTGTTTGGAAATCCCCCGTCCGTAAAACATAGGTTTGCCCCCGGCTTAAAATCCCGGCAAGGCCCACCGTGATGGCGCAGCAAGATCGGACCCATGGAAATGAGGTTGGTCAAATTAATGGCAGAAACACATTTGCCATCTTAATTAAAAAGCACTTTGCCCGTTATCCTGGAAGAGAAACAATTTTTTTCGAGTGGCCTAACCACTAACGTGATGTGTACTTGTGACTGAACGGTGTAAACGTTTTCAGTCAAGATATTTCTCGCTGAAGTTGCCATTGGGAAAGCACTGGTTTCGCTTTGTTTCGAAGTCCCGGAATTGAGATGAGATGTTCAGCCTGTATCGTGTGCTTGAAGTTAACCGTCAATAGAACCCTCTGATCGGAGAGTAATTCCCCAGCTCCCATGTAGCTCAATGTTTCTTGAGCGTGCAAATTTAAGATTATTTCTAATTATTTTGCTGCCGGCCTCTGGAGTGCACTTGCATGTCTAGGTTGTTATTTTGTGTGATGAAGCCCTCTCAAGAGTCCAAACTGTCTGAATATCCATACCACAGACTGGTGGGAATAGGGGGCGCCCTTACAGATGTAGCCCCACCATAGAGCAATATACAGCTCTGTGAGCCCCATAGCTCTGCGTAGCCCCCCAGAGGCGTAAATACGGCTCTGTAAGCCTCATTCAATGCATATTAAAGAAAGATACCGTCCAGGATCCGAGGCAACGGCACGACGGCATAGCGCGGCAGTACGACAATACCACTCAACGACCCGACGCAACGTGCCAACGCCACGGTGCGAGTGGCAGGACGCGACGGGGCCGTCGTAGCGTGTCATCGTGTTGTCTGGGCTACGGCAGGCAGAACGTGACGCAGTTTTGTCGTCTGCAGAACACCATATCTAGTACAAAAAACTGCGAAAAAAATCGATCGTGCTAGCGCGATTACGTTGATTTGACCCGTATGTGACGGCTGCGCTTTCCGCCGAACGCTGACCGCCGAACCAGAGATGTCTCCAATCCCCTGCAATTTACGCCCATTGAGCAAAGACTGAGATCGATTCAGGTGGCACTGATTTGTCCTGGTGAACTTTGGCATAAGGTGGTGCTTCCTGTAGCATTTGCCGGAAGATACATTCGGGCGCATTAAGTAATGATTATGCTCAAATCCATAAAATCATTGCCTGAAGAACCTTTGTCCGTCACTGATTGGAAGAGATCCCTCTCACCTTTAGCAACTTTTTGTCAAAGCCTTACCTGTACCTGTCCTTCAGTAGTTAGTTTGTGAGTCTCGTCGTGCGTATGGTAAGCTAGGAATGCAGTGAGAAGTGTTTGTCAATAATTTCTCAGCAGAGAGTGTTATTGCGAGCCCAGAGGTTTTGACGGTATCAACCGAAATAATTGACCACCCCACAAGCAGGCGTGATAAAAACTGTCAAAGTGTCTACTTGGGGTATTGTGATCTTCTCCAGAGCTAGAGTTAGATGATTAATTAACGATATATGTAACGAATTACTAATAATTCGTAATAACGGTGTACGCGCGCACTGATCCACAGAGTCCCTAGGTGGCGCTCTTTATTTATTTATGTATTTATTTTTTTTGGCGCGTGTATATTTTGGCATGTTCGTTCAAAGAGCACTTGTTAACTAGTGGTCGGTTCATGACGTATCTAGCACATGTGCTGTGAAGTTGAAGTGCGAACGCCTTTGTCAACCGTTGTCAGGTCATCAGGCCGAAGGGGAGAAAAGGAGGCCACCGGAAGGGCAAAATAGCAAAAATAAAAGTGAAATGGCCGTTTACTTGTGACAAACTGTTTTTCCCGTACATGTATTTTCCTCATTACTGATCGTCAAAACGGTTTATGGTAACCAACGATGCGACCAACCTCGATAGGCTGGTCATGAATAGTTGCCAAGACTAGTCCAACCATTGTCGACCAGCGTGCGTTCGATCAGAGTTGGCTGAACTGTGGTTAACAATGGTCCTTCATCGAACTTGCCTTTGTTGTAGTATAGCAGCGGTGGTTCTCACAGCCGAAACTGTATTGATACGTGACTGCATTTCGTAAATCTTTAACAACCTGTTTATTTTATGAATTTTTGTAACTGAATAGGCCTAAACCGTTCATCGGCTTGCCTTGGCCGTGTTCTTTTGTGCACAACATGCTGAGTGAAATGTGCGTCGTGCTTTGAATCACATGGGAATCAGTGCAAAACAGCGCCATTTGGAGGCTTAAGTAATACAGGCGATTCACAATAGTGCGCCAACAAGAATTTGCAACGCGTTAGCCAATCATAACGCACGAAATTTGTCGACCCTTTTCAAACGCGCATTGGGTCGACAAATTTCGCCCATTGCGATTGGCCAACGTGTTCCAAACTCTTGGTGGCGCACTATTGTGAAACGGCCGTATTCATTATTACGTGTGTGTACAAAATGCGCGGCCGAACAATGGCGGCGCGCTACGCTTCAGGAAGGTAATAATATACATGTTTATGCATGTCATTCCGTGTACAGTGTGCAAGCACTCCATTTATCAGTGACTATGTTTTATCTTATCAGAAATAAAGCTCCCTTCGAGAGCAAATGGACCATTTTCCCAACTGTTCCTCTTTTCCCTTTTCCCTCTGTGAATTTTAACAAGATAATATTGAATAACTTTTTTTACGCGAGAATTCACGCGAAAATCAAATCCATTCACATCCTGGATAAGTTTAATTCAAATTGACTTTCACAAGAAAACTAATTATAAATTAATATGCGAAAGGCTC